AGCGTTAACATATTAGGCCCGGGCGATTCCTACGCGGCCCCGTGACCCGGTTAGCTCGTCGTCTCGGAACGTTCTCGCGCCTCCATTAGTGGGACCCCGTTTGCGGGTAACGAGGCGTAATCTTCGACCGTATCGCGCTTTGCTCTCTGGGCCCGTTGGCGCGGCAATCGGTGGCGGGCTTGCGGTTCGCGATCGCCGGTTCCCACTGCAATAGCGAGGGCCTGTGCCTAGGTCACGAACAACATGTGGTAGGGCCACGCAACAGGTCCGTCTGGTGAGTGAGGTAGCCGGAGCCCGCTTTGTTAAAAGGTGGCATCTGCAACACTACGGGTGTCGCAGATGTGCATGGACGGCGGTCATCACTTAACACCAGATGGACCGCCAGCACGCTTACCACCATAAAAAAAAAATTGGCGTTTCACGTTTGAAACTAAGCTAAACTTGAGAACAAACATAAAATATGGAGATAGGTCGTCGAAAAATTTTTCGCCGCTGCTGAGATCGAACCTGCGTCTTCCGGGCAACGCGCCCTGAGCTATGGCCTCAGTGAACTTGGTATTGTTATCCACCACGTTATGTCCCACTGCTGGGCCTCCTTTGTACAGAACGTGTTATGCCATAATCCACCACGCGACCCTACTGAGGATCGGCGTACTTCACGTATCTTCGAAAAAAAAATTTTGTTGTTGTTTCGAAAACATGCAGGTTTTCTAATGATTTTTTGTCCGATAAGCACATAATGGGTCAGCGCTTGAAATTAACAATTTCATCGGTGCCGGCACCGGGATTTGAACTCGAGTATATAGAATTAAAAATGAGCGCACGCACACTAAGCTATCATGGCTCACCGCCTTATACCAATACTTATTTAAATCGCCGGGAGGCGACAATTACTTGCAAATAGAAAATCTTATTGATAACAATATTATTGCAAATTCTTGCTTCGCGGTTTAGCTTAGCTGAGCATTTGATGCCTTCGGTGCGAATAAAAACTTGTTTCCATGGCAAACTATTGCCAAAAAATCCTCAATAGGAATGTGACCTAAATGATTAAAGCACGCGAAAGAACACTTTACGGCAATAAGTTACGGTCGAAAATCTATAGTACACTTACTGTCCCGGTTTTATACGAATAATTCTGACCTTTATTGCTTCGTGCATAACGTGCGGGGTTTAAGATTTTTCGAGAAGAAAAAAGAATTACCGCTAACTTGCAATAACCTTCCGCAAGAGTGCGGCCTCGCTTGTATCACGTTCAAGGTTTGATTCCTGTCGGAGGTGTGTAAATGATTTTATTCTGTATTGCTGTACCGTAAGGTTGCAATTGCCCAGTAACGATTTTCTAATTGTTTGCTTAGAAGATTTATTGTGTGTACCACTGTCGGTATTGTGAAAACATATGCTCACGCTTGCATTCAATTTTTCGTTTCGACACGTAAGGTCTTGGGGCTGTTTGTCGTGCAAATGAAATTTATTTTTGAATATTTAATAGTTAGCGTATACAACAAACCTTATTGTTTCAGGAGATATTTTTAGACAACATTATCTAGTCCCAAACTATGCAAAGCTTGTACAATAACAAATAACCGACGTTCTTAGTTATTATCAGGTTTTCTCAACCTCTTGCTCAATAGCACCCTTTAAAATTATAAAATGTCAATCCTTCAGGTTATCTTTAAGGTCTTTGTGTCCACACAACTCAAAAACCAGCCGATGGATTGACTTTATTGAACGGGAGTGTAATTCGAAAAGTGTAATTCGGAAACGGAACAAAAAGCCACATAGAAGCCTGGCTGGGTTCAGCTAGGATAATTTAATTAATTTAGAATTATGGGTATATAATTATGTATATATTAATTAATATATACGTAATTATATACCCCCCCCCCCCCCTGGAAAACAAAAAAGTGTTTCCGAAACGAGCCCTGTGGTTAGACTTTGCGGGGAAAAATGCAGTGGAATCAAAAAGGCTGTAGTTATCGCCCATTAGTTGCTAACGCCTTTCCAAATGTCGACACGCCGATACGCGAGCTCCGAATGTTTGTGTGAACAATACAAACATTCACACAATTTACATTATGGTTATCGCTACGGTAACTCCCGCCAAGGTTTCGAGGAAGCGGCGCGCTCGGCGCCTCTCGGACGCCTTCGGGCGCGTTCGGAATCACCGGCCACGCTGCCCGACAAATGGATACATCGATCTAGACAATAGTATAGAAGAAATAAATCTGGGCCCAAACGAACCACTACTTCGAGACAAGATGCAATTAACTCCTACTGCATCGGAGATCGGACACAAAATTTATAATTCAATAACTGACGGTTAAAAGTTAAAGTTAAGTATCAGCCTATGCATGTCCCACGGCAGGGCAAAGGCCTCCTCTATACAGAGGGTATAAGGGCATAGTCCTCCACGCGGCCCCACTGCGGATTGGCGGACTTTACATATCTTCGAAATATTTTATTTTAATTATTATTTTCGTAAATATGCAGGTTTTCTCACGATGTTCTCCTTCACCGCTGAGCACGTGATAATTCAGCACTTGAAATTAACCATTCGTTTAGTAATATAGAAGAATTTATCTAATATGTCATAAAGAATGAAATATTGACTCGGTCGCCACGAAATCTGACTAATCTTTTCTTATCACTGACCGACTTATGCTCGACTACCATCCCAGTAATGAGGATGGTCAGTGGTGGTGCAGCCATTGAGGTTAAATAGAGATAAGAACTGAGTAGAATTTCGGCATATAACCTATTATATCTATTCGACTTGATTTAGACTTTAGTTTCAAATACATAACGGACAATATGCAAGCGATATTTAGGTTTCTTTTTTCTAATCAACACACAACAACACACTTTGGGATAATGTAACCTATACGCACTAGTGAAGAGGTTCAGATTTGGTTTTCATATTTTCCAAGACTGCATACTAACCAACAATGTCTTACTCCGTTATAATGTTATTTATAGACCGCATGAAGCACTTCACGATAACATTGCAATGCAAAAGCATATCAATTGTTATTTATAATAATTATCGATTATAAAACGTGATTAATATCTTTTGCAAATTACCGATTGTATTAATTGTAAATGATTATATTGTTAGAATTACAGCCGCTTTTTGCAGTGTAAAACTGACTACTAATTTGTCGCAACAATCCGAAACAAAACGGGGCCTTCACAGTTGCCAAGGTATCTGCGGAAGGCTTCGGTGTCGGGGTTCGTGGGGTCGATTCCCACACGGGACCACTATTTTTGTGACCCACAGATAGTTGTTTCGCATCTGGTTGTTTGTCCACGTGAATTTTTTGTTTGTAAAACGATAATGGATAATGTTATCCTAAAGTAAGGGCAATGTTTCTAACAAAAAGAAAGAAGGAAAAAGAAAAGTATGCTATGGTCCTACAGTATTATGGTATTGTGCATTGGTTCAATACATGTCTCTGAGTGGCACACAAATATTTATACGAAGACGCTTTCGTGACAGCAAGACACCAGATGAGAACGCGACAGAGTTCATCATGGAACTAGGTTTACCGTACCATAATTGGCCCATTAAATTGAAAACACTAATAACACCGTTCCAATTAACTCTGTAATAAGAAAAGGAACAATATACTTCCACGAATTTATTAATCGTCCACTCCGAAGTGCGGCGATCGCAAAAAATGCCGATATAGAAATCGAGGCTACGAATGCATCACAACATCACGTGCACCGAAAGATGAACCAGTACAATCGACATTTTTGTTTGTTTCCGATACGATTAGTTTCAAGAAAACAGCCGTAATGTTAATGTAAAAGTAAAGTAAAGTAACAGCCTATACATGTCCCACTGCTGGGCAAAGGCCTCCTCTATAGAGAGGGTATCAGGGCATAGTCCACCACGCGGCCCAACTGCGGGTTGGCGGACTTCACATATCTTCGAAATATATATATTTTTTGTTATTTTTTTTAAATTTGCAGGTTTCCTCACGATGTTTTCCTTCACCGCGGAGCACGTGATAAGTCAGCACTTAAAGTTAAAAACTTCATTGGTGCCGGCACCGGGGATCGAACTCAGGTTGCTCGAGTATATTGAATTAAAGGCGAGCGCCCGGACACTGAGCTATCACGGCTCTTACTGAGCTATCACGGCTGTACAACGCTGCAATGTCCTTAATAAGTTCTTGCAGTGGAAATAGTTAGTTAGTTTTTTTTTAAATGATAGAGTAGCAACAACTTGTGTAACAGCTATTGGATAGGCCGGTATGACAGGGACCAAAGAAACCGGCGTGAAATAAAACTTTTCACACCTGAGTTTAGGCATCCGCAGGTCTTCTATATAAGTGGTTACCAGCACGAATGCAATATCTCAGTTGAGAGTCCGATCCTTACTGCCTCAACTTATGATTATGTCGAGAGTACCAGCAGTTTACCCTGACCAGGATAAAAAGTTTACATTTATAACATTTGAATTTGAATATTATTATCGTGGAGAGGGTTACCTTGTCAATTATCTAATTTTTAGGTCAATACATTAAATCATATTATCTCGTTATCGACGATCACGTGAGAATCATTTTATGTAACCAACAAATTGGTTTTTCAGCATTAAAGAAAAGTACCGTCAAGATTGGATGGTCTAATTTATACATGGAAATTGGCCAAAATAATTTTAAAATTATTATATATATAATTATATATAATAATAAAGATAATGAACCATACTTTTTAGTCGACTAAACTTTTTTTTTACAATACGAATATCTCATTAGCTGAATCGCTTCGGTTTAATAACTAAAAGCCCAATGTCCAAAAGGTTCTGGAACCCTCGGGTGTAGCAGATGTCCATGGGCGGCAGTATTCACTTAACATCAGGTGAACCGTCTGCTCGCTTGGCAACTTTCACATTTAAAAAAAAACTAACAGACGCACCAAGTATGCTTATATCAAAGATTTTATAAGATTCCTTCTTCCTTCAATGGTTTCCTATGTCTTGTCCGCAGGCCGTCGACTGGTGGTCGGTTGGCGTGTTGACTTACGAGCTCCTGACGGGGGCTTCCCCTTTCACCGTCGAGGGCGAGAGGAACACCCAGCAGGAGATCACCAAGCGCATCGTCCGCTGCAGCTACCCAGTGCCCAATGACGTCAGTCCCGAGGTCCAGGATTTTATCAAGAAGTGAGTATATTGCTGTCACTTCAACACACCTCACCAATGGGTTAAAATCAGGATTTTATCTAGAAGTGAGTAGCGCTTATCGTATGTTGCTGTGACCACACCATTCCTCACCATTGGGTATACACTAGATCGGAACTTTGGATTCCTTTCGGTCCATTGTTAACAGGTACTGTAGATTTTAGTGGATGCAGTACATTAGTGTCCGTTTTATTATATATAAAGGAATATTTTATCGAAGATGTACACTCTAGGTTGTAATTTTTGTTAGAGTGGTAGGCTCTGTGTATCAGCTCTTTATTCCACAACCAGGTGTTCCATGCCATTTCATCCATCAGAACTGTTTCTGTATCATCCCCGTAGGTCGTAGCATGATGTTTTATACCCTATGGGCTTCCTCAAGAATTTGGTTATCAAATGCAAAAAGATTTTTTTCAAATCAGATTGGTAGTTCCTGAGATTAGCGTGCTCAAACAAACAAACTCTTCAGCTTTATTATATCAGTATAAATTTTTGCACTAAGAAGCTAAGAAGCGCAGTTACATTTGAGGATAGTATAAAGACGAGACATAAAATTAGAATATAGGAGTCATTTAGTTTCTGCGTTTTTTTTTGTAATCCTAGTTTACGTGTGATGATGGGAAGTCGCTTTATATTTCTCCATTATACCCAACACTTTGACTGTGGAATTGATTAAGTTGGTATTTATCTTTCAGACTCCTAGTAAAGGATCCTAGACGCCGTCTGGGTGGTGGCGACGGTGATGCGGAGGAGCTGAAGAAGCATCCGTTCTTCCAGGTTAGACCCATGTTCCAACGTTCGTCGGGTGTTTTGTGTGCTCATAGTTTTTATAGCGTAGTTCATTGAATTTTTCCCTTCAAATATACTTCTTGTATGTGTGAACCGTGATTTGATACTTACAATTGATTTCACATTTTATGGGAAATTATACTCGATTCTTCTTCAAATTCTTTATACGATACTCGTTCCAATATAAATAATAATATAATATAGAATATAATAATATTGCCAATGTAACCCTTTTTATTATACGGTTTAATGATCATGTCATCACGATAGCACTATCAGGCGCTTCATAGAAAAGTCACATTAGTCTTCCATCAGAGGTTTTAACACAAAAATTTCTTTGCTTAAAACGTTTGAAAACCTGTTGTGGTCTCGCGATGATTTACTATTTAGGTATACAGCGTGGCGCTACTAACGCGACCATAAACAAATACACGTATAGAGGATAACTTATGAAAATTGTATTGAACATTTACATTCATTCTTTAAACATCAATATTTACAGAGTTATTAAATTTTTCAAAACAAGCATTTTGGAACGTTACGTATAAAACTGTAACGTAAAGTTCATTTGTAAAGGTCACAAAGCATATGAAAGGGTTGAATGAATTTAAAAGATATAAAACATACTGTTAGGAGAGATTCGTAATGCGACGCTGCGGCAACGAATGAAAAAGTAACTGAATGTATGAATCAGTCAATTGTAGTTGTACAGGATGTTACAAATATAGTTTCTTTTTTATTTAATTAGTTTTTTTTGAAAAATATTTATTACGGATCTTTTTAAAATTTTAAATTTTTTGATGTATATTGACAAGTAGCGTCAGACGTGTGTTCATTTATTTTCGCGTTTGTAACGACACGCTGTATAACGAACCCATAAATCTGCGAGACGTTCGGTGCGTCCCAGTCGTGGGAATATAAGCGTTCGGCGTCCAGGAGTTGGACTGGGAGGCGGTGTCGAGGCGGGAGGTTCCCGCTCCGTTCGTGCCCGCGCTTTCACACGCCGCCGACACTTGCAACTTCGCCGACGAGTTCACCAGAATGCCGCCCACCGACTCGCCTGCCCAAGCGCCGCGTCACCACGACAAGCTGTTCCTGGGTGAGTGTTTCGTGATGATTACTTTGCCGCTAAACAGTCAACAGGATCGGGGGCCATCGATTCCGGCGAGATTTCTGTTTATCGTGATCTGGCTCGACAGCTTAAGCACCCGATAAACTTAGCTCTCTCTAGCTACCAGACAACTTTGTTTAAAGAACCATGTAGTGGTATGGTACGAATACAGCGCCGTAGCACATACCGGCGGCTTTCATTGACGATCAAGTTATCGAGGTAAATATTAAAGAACGAAAAGAGATGGAAAGGGATAAAAAAGCGGTGCTGCTGTCTCTAGGCATTAAGAGAGAAAGTATTAATGGAATTGGTACAGACCAAACCAAGCAGTGTAGTCTTTGTGAAATGAATAAAAGAATATCTGATGTCCTACCTCAGACTTATTGGATAGAAATACAATATAAAAAATTAGACTTATTCTGAATAAGCCCATGATAATTTTAGTTCAGTCTGGCTCCGACGTTAGGCGATTCTGTCTTGTGAGGGTAAAATCATAAGCATATTGATGGATCCATATGTGCTTATATTTAGTAATGAAAGAAAAAGTACATCTGATATTCTTCTCCAGTCTTATTACATAGAAATACAATATAAAAAATTAGACTTAATCTGTAGCCCATAACAATTTTAATGTTTAGTATCGCCATACAACTATTTCATTATACTCGATATCCTATCTCATTTTATATCCCCCAAAGGAAACTAGCTAACAGATGTCAATTTTCCCAGGTTACTCGTACGTGGCGCCGAGCATCCTGTTCTCGGAGAACATAATATCGGACCAGATATGGCTGCAGGCCACCGGGCAGAAGCACGACAAGCTGAAGGGCTGGGTGGCGAAGGTGAGGCCATCCCCAGCTCTAAGTTAACTGTACGAGCTATAGAAGAAGTATTCGCGAAGCGGCTCTTTCGCGCTGGCTCAATGGCTTACTGGCCGGTGTAAATAAAAATGTCCATGATTGATTCTATTTCGATGTTAGTCTCTGAAGTCCAGATGAATTAAAATGTGTTTTTTTTTTGGAAACACAATTGTTTTGTTTTGAATATTGTGAAAGTAGATAGACGTCGTGATTTTCGCGCCCCGCAGAGCCATACTGTTTTTCCACTTTTTATGTACAAATGTTTCACAGCGTGTAAATATCCATATATTGCACCATCTTTATATAGAGTATTATTTAATTAACTCTGATTTTTATAGCTTTCCGCACTTCTTTATTCTATAACATACAAAATCCTCATCCACATTAGTGGTATTTTCTAATTAATCATGGTAGATCCATGAGTAACTAGAAACGTATCGTAGTACTGGTGCTTTATTCCTGAAGAAACTTATAGGCTTACTTCTAGATATATCGACGCCACTCAAGACCGTGAAGATTTCAACGTATTGCATTTCAGAACGTTTCTTTCATTAATTTTACATGTTGTGCACTCTATCCATGCGAAAAGTTTTGTGCTATATATCCTGTCGTCATTTTAGACGAATACGCCCCGTAACACCGAGAGCTTCGAGTTACGGCAAAGTTATAATTTCTTTCTCGAGTTAAAGAAAACAAACTAAACATCTCAAAGCCCTTTCAAAGGCCACTTTGGATATGCTTTAATTGACCTGTTATGTGCTCGTCAATTGCTTGGATGAATTGGTATTGGTTTTTTTGTTTTCTATAAATTATTTATTTTTTTCCAGGACTCGCCCTTCTTCCAGAAGTACGCTGTGGACCTCAGCACTCCCCTGTTAGGTGACGGATCCTACTCCGTGTGCAGAAAGTGCATACACCGGCAGACAGGGAAGGAGTACGCCGTCAAGGTGACCCCGAAATGCACACACAGACATTATTCACTGACCACACTATTTACACACACGTTGACACTATTCGCTGGGCTGTTTCACGTACACGCTCATATTTTTTCTATTCATTGGTTATATCTACACACATACATACTTTATTTATTGGCTTTTTTATGTACACACATAGATACTCTATTCATTGTCTGCTTTTGTACACACACATTTAGATTCCGTATAAACTATTTCGATTGTCCGAAATCTAGAAGCAAACCAAACTAAAGTACTGATAACCGTGGCGCTTAATTTATAAGAGAGACCAAAACATCTAAGTTATTTCTGAATTTGTTTTAAAATTGAATATGAAATTTATCTTGTTTTTTTTTACCACTATTCCAGATAATCTCGTCGCAGAAGAAGGACGTGAAGCAAGAGATCGAACTGCTCAAGGCGTGCCAGGGGAGCCCCTACATCATCACGCTGCACGAAGTCTTCCACGACTCGGTGAGACCATCGTCCATCATCAATCCGACCTTCGAGGTTCCACCTTCAGTCTGAAGGCAGTATTCGTTGACACCTTGCAATCTGCGTATTTCTTTCTATAAGTATGAATAATTTCACGTTGGACCTCTCCGAGTAATGGAAGCTTTTGTTCTCTTACGCTAGTAAGTATATACATATATATATATTCATTGATACATACTTATTTACACACTACATATTATATTACCGCTCGGTGACTGGTCACGGTTCCGTGCTACGATTTCGCACGGGTCATAATAGTCAAAAACTATTATGTGAGAGCTGAGCGATGCCGCCCCTACGCCTAGTTGAGGAGTATTTTGCAATGGTCGAGCGATGTGGGGTTAATAATACTGTTGATACTCACGTAGGCTAGAATAAGATAGATAATAAGTAATACCTGTATGTTATGTTGTAAACTGATATTTTTAAAAAAGAGCACGTGTTGAGTTTTCTTGCCGGTCTCTTCTCAGCAGAAACTGTTTACCGAACCTGTGGTACCTTACGAACCTATACAGGGTGATTTTTTAGACGAAGTACATACTTTGATATAAGGTTCATCGAACATTCCATAGTTAAAAAAAATATTAATATTTATTTTGACAAGAAATAACCAGAAAAATATCAATTCAATCATTTCAATAGGTTAATGTATTGAGACGGTAAGGCAGGAATTTTTTAAGGTGTCCATAATGTTTGAAAAAATTAAAAAGAATCTTTGCAAAAAAAAAAAAGAAAAATGAGGTCACAAGTACGTACTAGATTCAGATTTAGAATCAAATTCTGCATATGCTCTATTAATGTCTCCGTCGTCTATAAAATCATCCTGTATATAATTTTTTATGTAAAGTTTGCCGATTCATAAGAAGGCGCGTTTTAGATTTGATTCGATTTGATTCGATTTGATTTGATCGTCAGGCGTTCACGTACATCGTAATGGAGCTCGCGTGCGGCGGCGAGCTGAGCGCGCACCTCGCGAGCGGGCTAGGCGAGCGGGTGGCGCGGCGGCTGCTGGCGCAGCTGGCGCTCGCCACGCGGCACATGCACGCCAGGCGCACCGTGCACAGGGACCTCAAGCCGGAGGTGAGCGAAGGCCTCTGCGGCCTCTACAGCCTCTTTCGCCTCTACAACCTCTTTTGCCTCTTTTGCCTCTTTCACATCTCCGGCCTCTTTGGCCTCTGGAGCCCCTTTCACCTGATTGACATCATTGGCTTTGTGATTGTTGTAATGCTTCGTGGTATAATTAGCATAGTTTAAAACTACACATCGTTTCCCTATAAAAAATATTTTTTGATAGTGCAGTCTCCATATAATTTTATAATTAATAATTTATTTCTATGTAAAGAGATTCTATGAAAATTGATAAAATAAAAAAAAAACTTTCATTCGGACTTTAACGCCAAAAGCCTGTGTTGCTCTGTCATCATACTCCTCGATTATTTGAAAGTCATCATCTGACATCTCATTCGCGGGGAACGTTGATATCAAAATAATATAAGCCCTCTTTGAAAGTCCTGATCAAACTGTTCGTGTGGTATAAATGACATAACAATAGCTGCGCCAAGCATTGCTTAAAACGCTTAAAAAAGAACAATGTATATAAAATAAAACACTTAGAGATTTTCTTCGCTGCGTCAATCGTTTAAAGCATCTGGGCGCGAATCCGGAAGAGGTGGGTCCGGATCCCGCATCGGTGGAAAACTTGGTCCATTTTAAAGTGTTGATCGTCACATCCGTATGTTCCAGAACATTCTGCTCACGTCGCCGCGGCCCGCCGAGGCGCGCGTCAAAGTGGTCGACTTCGGCTTCGCCCGACGCATGCCCGAGCCGGGGGATAGGGCTCGAATGATGACGCCGTGCTTCAGGTGAGTAAACGTAGCTTCTCACTGCCTCATTCATGTGTGTGTGGGGGGGGGGGGGGGGGGGGGGGGGGGGGGGATGGGGGTTACTTGTACACGTGATGTGGAATTCATATTTTTGCATTTAGTTCGGCTAGTGGTATATGGGATTGTTCTTTTGTTAACTCACGCGTGGAAATTTGTAACACCCTTACGGTTGTAGATGCGTCGCTTCGTTTTATTAAACTGAGCTCCGGTTATTTCTCTCACCATACGAAACGCAGAAGTACTTTACTTTGCACCAGTTTTCTTTGAGATTACGGTACTTCCCCTAATGGACCTGCCCGTTTCAGCAACAGCGAAGACCGCCACCACAGTTGTGGTATCATGTGTGGCACTCGTTCCATGTGTTCATGTGCCACATATGTCAAATTTGTTGTTGGCGTTTTATATCCATACGGAGTGTGCTCCACGGGTTCTCTCCAAGAGTCGTATGTCGATAGATACGTATAACTCCGTGTGCGAATATAGCGCATCGCACGCGTCCGCATGTCGCACTATCCTGATTGTCCGTGTGTCTCGATCGATCGCGTCCTTCCGCTCCGAGAGACCTGTATGTTGCGAGTTTCATAGCGTTTCGCGTGCCGTATAGCATCGCGTGCGTTCGTGTGTCAACTCATCCTTGTCGCCCGTGTGTCTCGAGCGATCGCGTCCTTCCGCTCCGAGAGACCCGCAAGTCGAAGGATTCTTAGTGTCGCTTGAGGATATAGCACCACGCTCGTCCGTGTGTCGCCCCATCCTTATCGTCCACGGACGAGACACACGTGTCTGGCCATCCTTGTCGCCCGTGTGTCTCAAGCGACTCGGTCCCTCAGCCTGCCGTACGCGGCGCCCGAGGTGGTCTCGTGCGCGCGGTCGCCCGCCGCGCCCGGCTACGGGCCCGCCTGCGACCTCTGGAGCCTCGGCGTCATATTCGTGAGTAGCCACCGTCATCAGTGCCCGGTTCCTATATTCAACGAACGGCCGTCAGTTACATAGCCTCGTATCTTTCATAACGACTCGTTGTGACGACTTCATAATGACAATCTAACTAATGGCCGTTCGTTGAAAATTGGAACCGGGCATAAGACCACCTTTCTGCAACGACCTCTATACTGCACTTTCCACTAAACACTTATACGTCCTTCCCCATTCACCCATAATTATGACACCCTCCATACTTTCTCCATCCCCATCATAATCATTACCCCAGTACCTTCCGACCCCCTTTCTGCAACGACCACCATGCTGCATTCTCCACTCTACACCCTCAGATATCCGTATACTCCAAAACTCATCCTTCCCTTCATAATACCATCTCCGAACTTCTCTATATAACATTCTCCATAGCTCCTCCATCATTATCACTATCCTTCACCCTTAATAATACCTCCTCCGTACTTAATCTCTATATGTCAATCTCCATACCTCCTCTATCATCATCATCATGAGCCCACTCCCTTTCGAATCCTATTCTGCAACGGCATACGGCATCTTCACTATATAAACTTTTAGATATCTCTATCCTCCATTCCTTCACAGTACCTCCTCCATACTCCTCCATATGCCACTCTCCATAGCTCTTCCATCATCACCATTATAACCTGTTCGAGTCCAAGACTGTTGCGTGGTTTTATGACAGCTAAAACTTATATCATTATACCTGTAGAAAGTTATTTTATCTTTATCACATATACTAATTAATATCTTCGACATTTCCAGTACTGCATGTTGTGCGGTAAAGCGCCGTTCCAGCCTGTCTCCAAAAAGGAGCCTGTCACCGCTTTCATGGACAGAATAAGAACCGGCAACTTCTCTATGGACGGTAAGTGCAATTTGTTTGTGAGCAGAGATGGTACAAATTGTAATAAGTTATCAGAAAAATTTATAAAAGTTTCTATTAACAAAGTTTTGGATACCAGTAAGTAACATTCATCTAGAGATGGCGCTATATAATTTTTGTTACTGTCATTTCGAGTGGTATTTTTTTTTGAGGAGTTCTCGTTTTTTTCTCTTCATCAAAACGCAAAAAAAAATAATAAAGTTGGAAAAATAAAGTAAAGTACAATAACAGCCTATATATGTATGTGCCACTGAGATTACCCCAAAAATTTTAGAAGAGAAACTCAACTGTATCAGAACCACGCAACGGTATTTGCTGTTGCACGAATGGGCCGGTCCGCTCGGATAAGTACCATGAACTAACAGAAGAGCGACGTGAAGTAGGAGAGAAGTGTTAAACTTCTGCGTTTCGTCTGGCGAGCGAGGTAGCCGGGGCCCACTTTATTAAAAGACGACAACGCATGTGCAACCCTACGAGTGTTCCAGGTTGTGACTTCAACAGGCGAACCGCCAGCTCGTTTGCCACCTTCTCACATAAAAAAACCCCTTAAAGTTTATAGAAACTTATTGCAATCAAGGAATCGTGCGGTGGACTATGGTCCCCTGTTCGAAGGTGGCCCTTGCCCAGCTGTGGGGCATGTGGACTTACGAGAGCTGTACATCGTCAGGTCCCTTGTGGGAGGGCGTGTCCAGCGGCAGCAAGAGGATCGTGGCGGGCCTCCTCTGCTCGGAGTCGTCGCGGCTCAGCGCGCACGAGCTGCTCGCGCGGCTGGCGGACGCGGACGGTGACGTCACCGCCGACGCCGACGCAGACGCCGCCGGCTTCCAGCTAGCGGTGAGCCCCCGGCCCGTGCGCGATGGATCGAATAGCGGGTCGTTTTATATTTGCATGGACGGGGTCTATTGTATTCACCGTATCGTAAGGACGTAAAATTCACGTAGACAAACATCGAGATCAGAAACAATTATGTATAGGACACTTGAATAGTTGCCCCTTTGGGAATCGAACCCACGACCCACGGCGCCTAAGCCGATATTTCGGCAACTGCGACGCGGAGTCATCGTGGGTCGTTGCGAATGGACGAGTGACGATGAGAGTAGTCTCTTAAGACGGCAGTTACTGCTTTTACTGGCAAGGGATTCCTCTGGAGGAAGGAGGATTGTGTAGTTCTTTCGGCAGGCCGAGTATGGTACCTTGTCCGTTGAAGGTTGGCGAAGCCACTAATCCGGATGTCTCTTTTACGGCCACACTCGGGCACTTTAATTAGTGCGTAATAAGGACAGATCGTTAGTCAGAGACGTTAGGACGTATAGCACTTCGGTCCTTCCTGTGAGAATAGACTATGCAAAGTGTTCGAAACGTCATGTAATTATAGTTCAGATTAAACGAGAGATTCAGATTAAAGAGTTCTGGTTAATAAAAGAAATTATAACACCATTTAATTTTGGATTATTTACGGTAAGGCCCCTCAAACTTGATCTTTCCAAAGTAAATGAATCATAAATTTATACTTAATAGTAAAAAAGGATATAAAGCGTATTAAGGTATTGATTATTTCGCAAAAAAACGCTTTTCAAATTGGAACATTTGCTTTTTAAAATATTTTAAAATCCCCGTTCCAGGATATGACCAAGGCGGACCTCTACAAGCGCAGGAACAAGAACAGGCAGCGCAAGTCGAGCGCTTCCGAAGCGGGCACCTCCTCCCACAGCGATCAAACGGACACCGAGCCGAAGGAGACCTCTCTTCTGGAGACGATAAACAACCTCAAGAGCAGAATGAACAAGAGCTCGATAGAGAATGACGTGGAACTGATTAGGGCGAACACCCAAGACACGCCCGTCACGGAGGGCAGCGAGCCCAGCTATACGGACGACACGGAAGACATACCGTCAGTGAGGCCGGTAGAGAAGACGTACGGAAAGTCCAGGTCGAAACTGGACGACTACATCTACATAGAGAGCAGCCAGGGCCTGGACGAGACCGAGGTGGCGTTCCCCAAAGGCAGCCGGATGAAGAAGGCGAGGGAGCCCGAGTCGCCTGTCCCCAGGAAGAGGAGAAGAATGGAGACGAGACAGACGCAGAGGGAGGCCGAAGCGAACGGCGACAGCGGCCAGACCGGCGGGAAGGTGCAAACGAAGCGGGGCAAGGGCCGGCCGAGGAAGAAGGCGCCCCAGGAGAAGTCGACCGCGCCGAAGAGGAGCGCCGAGAGGGAGAGGGAGAAGAAGACCAGGGCCACGAAGGAGTCGATAGAGAACGACAAAACGGCCACCGTCAGGAGCACCAGGAAGAGGAGGCACGAGGAGGCGTCGAAGCCGGTGCTCAGGGAGAAGGGCCAGAACGGGCGGCCCTTGCGGGGGCCCAGCGAGGAGGCGGGCGGCGCGCGCAAGGTGGCCAGGGCGAGGAGGAACCGGGGGCCGCAGGAGGAGCGGCGGCAGGAGGAGCCCGAGCAGAACATGCGCATGACGCGCTCGCGCCGGAGGCGGCTCGAGATCAGCCTGTCGCCGTCGCAGGTGCGCGCCGTCGTGACGGGCCTGTCGCTCGAGGCGGAGGGCGCACCCGCCAGGGCCACCCGCTCCAGGGGCAACCGCAGGTGAAACTAGCCCCCCGCCCCCCGGTGGGAGGTGACGTCATCGCTCCTCCCCCTCCCCGCCCGATCTCCCGCGTCACGCCGGTCGCACAGTCTCCCCCCCTCCCCCCAACCTCGACCTCAATTTCCAAATATTGAGACAGAATAGTGATTGATGCGGTCAATATTTATGTATACATATATATATATATACTTATGTACACCTAGATATATATTCATGTGTGTTTATTAAAACGGACGCTTTGCTCACGCGTAGAGTTTAGAACGAGAGAGGAAAAAATGAAATGGTTTGGAAAAAAAATATTTTATTTTGGATGATGCTATTTATTCGAAAGAGTAAGTTGGACCGCTCCCTCCCCCCTCCCTCTCACCCCCAGGTCCGCGGACGGGAGCGGTCCGTTGGCAAACTGTTTATTTTTTTTGGTAATTTTTAATTTTAATCCTTTTTATTTAATGTTACTATTAATTTTTAAGGCACCCCCCTTTTTTTGTCCCCTACAATTACCATTAGAGTTAATTCTTTGACGTTGTTTATTATGTATTTTGTAGTGAATAAATTAATAATAAATATTGTAACTAGTTAGAGCATCGGGTGTGGACGAGTGTACCTTCTCTTAGTTGAAATTTTCGTTCTCCTCCCGTCTTCGTGTACCATCCGTCTCCGCCGATAGCTTTCGTCTGATGAGACTCGATGTTACAACAATTCCTGGCTCAAATCGAGTGGTCCAGCGCCCGTCTGGTTTTCTCTATGAGCACGCTTGGAAGATTTCGCTAAACCGTTTGGCCCAAGAAAGAATATGTCGTGTTCGCGAAATTTTAATGGAGAGTGACCGTTGAATATATTATGTGATGTTATATTATTACGAGATTCTAGGATTGGTTCCCGTTCTTCAGATGTGTTTAAAAAGAGTATGAAACGATACGCCGACAGCTCGCCGTTTCGATGTCGTCGCGATCGGATAGAATAATTGATAACTTAATTTTTTTTTTCTTCTATATATTTAAAAAGTGAAATAATTTTATCGCGTATTGAAAAATGTTTATAAATTATAAAGACTCGTTAACGCAATATCATACGTGAATGGAAAGCTTCGACTGAACGAAAATTCATATCCTTAGGTAAAGCTTTATTGTGTATGATTTGAAACTAGAAAAAATTAAAAAACAAAAAGTTAAAAAAAATCGCCGCGGAGTGAATTTGTCAGTTGTGATATAACCGAATCATGCCGATCCTCCATTGCATCGTCGAAAGAGAAAACTATAGTAAGAAAGAGAGAGAATTAGAGGAGAAAGTCTGCCCAACAGATTTCCAATAGATGCCCGTATCGATTCATATGAGTTGGTTTGTGTGTGTATATTAGTTTACTGAATTCTAGAATAATAGGTTAAATTTGTAAATGTTTCCTTTTGCGCTCTTCGATTATAAAATAAATAGTAATTTTACGTCTAACTATTACTATCGACGATTCTTCAACTTCCAATTTAGTGATGTATCTGTACTATTTAAATAAATGTTTTTAGTGACGTGCGGTAAAGTGCCAAAGTTGCTGGGACATACTTGATTCGCTGTTTCTTGTGTCTGTCGCTGTACTTCGGTTCATAGGTAATTATACTTTCCTCGCTTCCTTGCTCACAGATTTTCTTACCATCGGAGCGCCTCTACCAAATGAATATAATTATGCCCCCACTTACATATTGTAAATAATTATTGTCGTCGTGTACAAAAATACGGTGGAAGAGTTAATATTGTTTGTATGATAAATTATATAAATATATGAAATCTCACCAACCGCCAGCCGCGGCTGTGTATCGTTCTGTTCGGAAAGCAAGTGGTGTATCCCGGTCGTATTCCAACATTCTATGGATGGGAGAGTTAGATAACATGTTGACCACGCGAAAGGGCGTTTAGCTTGAATTTTTAGACATAATGTAAACGATTCGACCACTGAAGCGTCCAGCGTCAATGGTCGAGTCGAGGAAAAAAAAACACTTAAAACTGCCAAAAAATAAAAGAAGACGCGCAAAACTCAAACGCTCGAATGAAGTTGTTCCGAGTCTTTAGTGGACGGGTATTGCTGCCTCGTTCGCGCCGCAAACAAAATCGCAGTCCGTCTCGCTCTTGCAGCGCGCTGTACTGTCGCGAACAACGTAAGTTTCCACATTTTCATGTTTAATATTTCTCTGCTCTTCAAAGCAATAGTCCCACTTTTGGTCATGTCTGTACACGGAGCCAACTTCACTCGGGCGCCTTGAAGTTGTGCGCGGCCTACAGCCTGAAGATAGTTAAAGCTTCCCGGTTGAATTTTTAAATATAGCGCTTTAAGTAGCACCTAGGCTATGGGATCAGGTCGTTGCAAGCCATTATAGAACCATTACCATACGCCAATAATGGATAAATAATAGAATGTAAGCAATAGCCCCTTTGTGGATGGAAACCATCGTTTACCGCACACGGTGCCGACGGTTATATGAGAACATTGTTGTTGAAGCTGTTGAATTTAACTTGAAAATTTAAACGTTCTAATTGTTTAGTGTCTGAACTGCGTACAAGTACAAAGATATATGATGATTATCAGAAGCAATATCGATTTATATATTATATTATATATTGTATTTTCAATTTGTTATAAATATGTTGAATTGTCACGATTATAAATGCATTAACGAAGCGCTGCATATATACTATGTATTTATATATCTATATTTATCTTTAAAGGAATTTCTATGTATAAGCAATGCATTCTTGGTGAAAGTTTTTATCGTAACTTTCTACATAGGAACTGTTCTACAGTTGACAACGTTTGTGATTACTTATTGTTGACCATACAAACACCAAGTAAGCTTTAAGGCATACAATAATTATTGTTGATGATTGATTTAATGTGTTTTCACTGAGAATGCTCTCGATGCTTAGTGCGGGTACGATAAAATGCAGTCTGAATTTAGATTTCCTAATCAATCGGAGTATTTCGCACCTCGCATGTCAAGTTATATGGCAGCCGTTGTCGAATGGACGTTTAAACTGCACACATTTATTTCTTGTATTACAACGACTGACGGTATGGAGAGAACCGAATGTAAAGATACCTCTACGGACTTTGTATAAACTTATTATTTATATATTTATTTAGAAAATTAATTCGATTTGTACATTTGAAATGCTAGTAATTGTAACTGAACACAGTTTGCTTTTTTCCCCTATAGCATGTAAATCTGGTTCCTCTGATACAAGAATTAATGTTGCAAGTTAACTATGTCGAAGCCCGCGCATGATAACATCAATATAGTTGGAAATTGTGAATTTCCATAGTGTGAGAACTAGCCTTTACGTCACTTACGTGGTAACGTTTTTTAAAGTGCACTTAAAATGGATTGTACCAAAAGATTATATAATTTTATAATAAAGTGTTAGAGGTTATTATTGTAGAGTCGGCGATAAACAAATTTTGTAATACGTTACACGAATGCCGGCCGGAGATATTGGATTGTAATAAATATACCATTTTAACATTTGTATTTAGTTTTATTGCATCCCCTTGCAAGTATATTAAATACACATCACTGCAAATTCCCAATCGATTGTATAATGCATAAATTGATTTTGGAATTTTACACTTTCTTAAATAAGTGAATCGAGATGCAGAAAATAAAAAGTATTCATACTCTTTATAGACAGACAGAGATTTTATTAACCACATTAGGAACTTTTAAAGCGTTGCTCGTGAAACTGCCAGAGGGTATGAATAATATGAGCTGGTTTCCTAAATTAATGTATTTAAAGTATGGGCGAAAACAACTTATAGGTTGGTAAACAACATTTTTTTACATCCAAACTTATTTTTATTAGATTTTTTTAATGTGAAAAGTTGCCAAGCGTGCAGGCGGTTCACCTGATGTTAAGTGAATACCGCCGCCCATGGACATCTGCTACACCCGAGGGTGTAGCAGATGTCCAAGATGCGTTGACAACCTTATAAAAATTTGACTCCGGCTACCCCACTCACTAGACGAAACGCGAAAGTATTATACTTCCACTTTACGTCGGTTTTCTGTGAGGTCGTGGTACTTACCCGGATGAGCCTGCCCATTCGTGTAACAGCCGAGGGCCGAGGCTACTGCATGGCCCTACCATAGTTAGATTTTAATAACAATTCTTAATAGCTCCATCTATCGGATTATTTTAATCAATCAATACGTTAAAAGATTTTATGAACTACGAACTCCACAGATTGTCGATAAAGTTAAAACTTTGAAGTTTGGGTTCTATTAGTTTATATTTAGCATTTCTATACAAACGATATCACAAACAAATGATATATAAAAATATTGTTAGTGGTTAAGTGAATTTACTTAGACTGTTATGTTATATCATTAAAATACGAAACTCAAACGCAGTAATAAAAATAATATTACATTCAATGGTACATCCTTACTATCCTTACTCTTACAATTATTATAAACGAACTTTGTATGTAAGGATGGATGTTTTTTCACGCAAATACTACTGAATGGATTTTAATGAAACTTTAAAATAATATAGCTTATACATATACATAACAACATAACATATGACATACCATTTAACATATACATAACAAATAACATATGACATAGGCTATAATTTATACATATTTGAATGTACATATCTCTCTTTCTGTCAGAATGTTACGCCTTCAGCCTATTCTACGCAGACGTAGTCGCGGGCAGCGGCTAGTCAATTTTTTTTGGATTTTATGACCCTTTAGGACCTTTGACCAATCTACCATAATTTATTTGAATATAAATAGAATACACTTAGATATAATAATAAATTTTGAACAATCGAAGAAATATTATCAAAGAGTACTTTTATATATCTGATTATTATGGTTGACAACACTCTAAACTCGGGCGTATTGGTGGAAGACGTGACATTATTTATTCTGTGGCGACAGACGTCAGGTGGAGATGTCTAGTTTGTGTTGTAAAAATAATTAATTCCACCACGATTAGTGAAACAATTATGTGAATAATGAGATGAAAGTGTAAATAAATGTTATTTTAGTGCTCGCTAGTGATTATGGCGCATAGTGGTGGTGTTTTAAGCTCGGATATATCTCGAAGGAATCCACAAGATGAGTACGAGCTGGTGCAGAGGATTGGTTCGGGCACCTATGGCGATGTATACAAGGTAGGGGACCTTTCTAAATTCTGCTTTTTCATTTTGTCGTTTCGTTATGAAGTCTATTATTTTGGTCCGCCACTGATTAATGCGTGTGGCGGGCGAATAGTAACGGTTATCGGGTTCACTGCGTGAATACGGAATCAGTTGGTCTGCTGTCGATTAGGCAGTCGGTAATTGTACCATTAAATTCAAATTGCCAGATGGGTATCGCTGCTATTTTTTGTAATTAGCTAAATCGCACATGTCATTCGGCCTTGCGACGCGTTATTCGCGTGAGATTAAGGTGGCACACCCATGTGTTTACACTTATAAACCTGAGACAAAGCGTTGTACGTCTTATTGTATCGAATTAACTCTGTAATTATATCGCATTTTTGGACGAAACGAAGTTTTATACAAAATTTTGGGTTGTTTGTCATGAAGCAGGATTATATTGTACTGTTATGTTGGTTAAATGAAAAAAGAGTTAACTATGTGATCTCATTGTGTCCTTTATGGGCTTAATGGAAATTGTTATGTGGTGTACAATGAATCACACAATTTATGGTTATTATATAGTGTGGGTAAAGGTGTTAGGAAGGTGAAAAGCCATGTTTTTTTTAAATTATTTTAAGTTATTAAATTTAAATAGTTCATAAAAATAATGTTTTTATTTTAAATTACATATTATAGATCATTTCAAATTATCTGATCTATAAAACTGATGTGGTGGATAAACATTGAAACAGGAATTGCTATTTTTTCAAATATATTCATCCCCTTTTTTATTTCTTTAACATATTTTGTAGAAAATTTATTTAATACTTTTAAACGATAATAAGAAAATAAGTATACATAAGCAAACACACATCCTATTCTATCAGTTATATATTTTTAATTAACTGTACTTTCCTTATAATCATTAAAAATTATATGATCAAGATTAGGACTCAGTCTATGTAATCTTTTTCTATTAGGGTATCTATTAAATTTTTTACTATCATTTTGTTAAAGCTTTACTACCTCTACCATCCTGTCTGATTGTAATTGTACTTAACGAAAATATATCTTTTTCCTATTATATATTTATATCATTTTGTAAAAAAATACTATGAAATTTTCGGACAGTTATCAAATTTTTCAAATATTATAAAGAAGAAAATTTGCTAAATTAAACATGCATTGCATAAACTGACATCATAACTAATGTACCCACTAACTAATGTACCCTAAAATAACTTAACAAAACACCTTTTAAGGAATGGTTTTACATTGATTGTTGTGAAAGCTTATTACAAATGAAATTGGTAATGTAATACTCACATATACCTAGTTTACCTAATCTTAATAGATTAAGCAATATATGTTCATATTAAGTACAAATACGAATGGTATTCCTGTAGTTTTATGTTAATTTTTTATCACATTCTTATCTAATTTCTTACACACTATTATACAATAGTTAAAGTATTGAATGACTATGACATTGGTTAAATTGCTTCATATCAATCCTGTCTAAAATGTGAATCTACATATGAACAACACCGGAACATGCTGTTGTTGTTAAAAACATGCAATAATTACAGTGTTCATTCAAACAATGCACATTACCTCACCACTGTTAATGTGAAACCTTGCCATTGGCTTAATGATTTCCAGTTTAACCATTTCAGTGCTAGTGAAGTATGTACTACCAATTCTATTTAATTTTTAAATCACCAATTTTTATTATAAGTTAAGTTTTAAAATTAGGATTGTTTTACATCACAATAATAGCTTTAACTTAATAGACATTTCGTGTTATAACATTTTTAATATATTCTACAAATTTATTTACCAATAAGTGAAATCATTATAAAGACACATTAAATAACTTTATTAAGAACCTATTATTATAGATTTATATTTAAATTACAATGTTGTACAACATACCTCTAGACATACTGAACTAACTTCGCACACACATTGCATGCAAATGAGCTATTTTGAATAAGTGTATACAATAATTGTGTTAGAAGAACAATCACTATACTTCAGTTTTTATAATTAAAGAATAACTGTCCTGTGTATTGAAATTCAAAAGAATTTCTGCCCCTTTTTCATTTGCATTTCAATAAAAAAAAATAATGGAATTATCTGTCTCCTTTAACATTATGATGTTATAAATCATCTTCATCCATTCCAACATGGACATTTGAAAAAAAAAACCATAACAAAAATACACATTTTTTAGAATTTTGCATATACATACATCTGTGTGTTTATCTTGCATAATCTGAATGGCTGATCTGGTTTTTAATGCATCTAATCTGAGTGACTTTCTTGACAACTTGATAAGGTCCCAGGGTCGACAGGTCTAAGTTTTACTAAACCATTGCCCTTATTTTAATTACCTATGTGTATAAGTTGTAAGCATACAGTCTTTAAATGTTTTGCTGAGATCAACCTGGGTGAATTCTGACTCCCTAAAATTGCAAAGATTCGCAACATTAATTTAAAGAGATTGAAAACAAGACAAGATGTTATGTTACACTCCATATGAAAAATGCAGGCATGTATCAGTTTCTCCATCTTTGTATATTTTCTAATGTAACTGGCCTGTTGTTATATATCAGTTTGAATTACTATAATAATCAATGAGTGCAATTTCGTGAGTTAGTTGTTGAAATACGGGATTGACTCAACACTCACAATAGTCGCACAATTGAACGCACCATGGAAGCCTCTAAAGGAATTGGTGATTTTAATTTTTGTCAGGTTTTAATAGTTCTAATCTCCATGCTTCGGATGAAACATTAAAATTTGTGGTAAGATGGATGTTAAGTTACATGCCAGAATACACCCACGTCTTCTGGGTGCGATTCCGGAAGAGTTGGTTCTTGTCTTTGTAATTTCTCTGTAATTTCTATCCACCTACTTTCAATGCTATCCATACCTTTCATAGTTGTACTGCTACGTTGGTCACCGAATGTCAACGTGCAAAGCCGCTCTGGGATCAGGTGATTGGAATAGATTATTCCACTGTGGAGGAACCATAAGGCGTTCATTTCGCGGACATTTTCAAGAGCATCTCTTTAGTTTATTACTTTTGTTATTTACCTTTCAAGTTACAAAGTCCAACAAATAAAATGCTGTTATATTATATGTGTGTAAGTCTTAAAGTTTGTGTGTGTGTGTTTGGAATGGGCTAGACGGATTTGAATGCAGTTCGTAATAGCGGTAGCTTAACACTTCATAAAGGAAAAAGCCTTTGAGGCTGCCGCTTGAAGCATGAATTATAAATTTCCTGTCTCAATAAGTTCTCCTATCTGTTGTAAGGCGACAGGGTCGTCATCTGACAAACTCTCTTATCTGTACGCCCATGGCTGCGTGTCTATGTCATACTGCGTACGTCCATCCAGTATGAACTCGCAATATACTCACCCTCGTGTTTCATCGTGACTCACAGTCATAGAGCTGTCCCGCTCTGTTGAACAACGAACAAGTACTCGCGATAGTGTTTTTTTTTTATATTCGACATTTGTTTTATAATTTCGGCTTCGGTTGTAAGATTTGTAGCGTCTCTCGTGTCACTGGAAACTCGACGTGGATGTGACTAAGACGTTTGATGCTGTTTGAATTGAATTATATCATCTGATAGGAAGCGGTGAATTCTCGAGCTGTCAACTGCTCACTAAAATAAGATTCTTATCTACCTAACTGCAGTTTTAAATAATGCCGAGTTTTGAGGGGAATTTGTTGTTCTGTGCACTCGGACCGGATTGAATTTTGCAGTATGTTTTTGGGTAGCTATTGCGTTTAATTGGGCCAAGGTTTAATGAATTCAAATGATGTTTGAATAAAGTTTCTTTTAGAATTATTTTCTGGAACAACGCAATCATTTTACGAAAATTACTAACTTGACGCATCTTTGGAGCTTTGATAGAGGTGAGAGATGGCGAACGTGTCATAACCACGAGTTGCCAATGCCAATTTTATGATGAGCCAAACGTCATCAGGTTCATAATAATCGGACGCCAGTGATGGGCAGGGGACGTGGTTCTGTATTAGCGGTTGTTGTTGTTGTGGCGGACCTGATGTTAAGTGAATTCCGCCGCCCATGGACATCTGCTACACCCTTTACCTTACACCTTTTGAAAATTGGGCTCCGGCTACCCCACTCACCAGACGAAAAGAGAAAGTATTATACTTCCACTTTCCGCCGGTCTTCCGTGAGGTCGTGGTACTTACCCGGACGAGCCCGCCCGTTCGTGCAGCAGCCGAGTTTGCTGCGTGGGCCTACCAAGTGGCGCGAATGGACGAGGCCAGAGTACCCAAATACCTTCTGGGTGGAGGAAAAGCCAAAACCAAGCTGAGATGGTTGTTTGGGCAGAACAGGACACCAAGATCTTGGGTGTTATAGGCTGGAGGAAGAAAGCTATGAATAGATTGAGAGATTTGCTTGATCAGGCTAAGGCCCACCCGCGGCTGTAATGCCTCAGATGATGATGATGCAATCATTTTAAACTCTTCTGTGTCCCACTTAATAAACGATCGAAACCGTCCTTATCATTAGGAGGGCTTATAAGGTTCTCAAGATTGTCTGAATTCAATACACGTAAGAAATGTGTTCGACAGTAAAACAATAGGTCGGTATAAACTGATTGAAACGCGCCCAATCTTACGACACTGTAAAAATGACTCGAAGACATATAATACGTTATTTCAGAGCGGCTCGTGTTAGATCAGAGGGAGATACTTATATCCTACATTAACTGTGGTAGGACCACGCAACATCTGTTGCACGAATGGGCAGGCTCGTCCGGGGAATTACCACGACCTCACAGAAGACCGGCGTCAAGTGGGAGCGTTACACTTCTGCGTTTTATTTGGTGAGTGAGTAACCGTGGCGCCCAATTTATTAAAAAATGGCAACGGATCTGCCACCCTACGGGAGTTGCAACTGTCGATAGGGCCGTTATCACTTAACATCGGGTGACAACCAGCATAAGAACTTTATCATATAATTCGTGTTAATGTATCGGTGA